TTTTGAATCCCTTATAATTCACTAATTTTCAGCTGTTTATGAAAACAAAAAATATTTGTAGAATGTTTTCTATTTAGAAACTTCAATTTTCCACTCACAAATGTTCGAACTATTGCTTATTAATCAATAATTAATTTGCTAAACTTGAAAACGCTTCCTAATTCATCATAACGTAAAATAATAAATTATGAGAATGGAATAAGAAAAATATTGAATGCATTTTTTCAATTTTTAAAAGCCATAAAATAAAAAAAACATCTTCTATTGTGCATTCAATTTTCCTATTCTGCAATCGCAAAATTTTATTAAAAAATTGAATTCAACGAATGTCAATATTTCAAAAACAATAAGTCGTAAAAATTCCAGTTAAAAACTATTTCAGTCTCTTATGTCGTTTGTGGCATGTTTTGATCATTTCTCAAAGTTTTTGGATCTAGCTTTTATTTTCTTCTCTTTTTGGAAGTCTTTCATTCTACTTCATTCAGTGAAAACAATTTTTTTCATTCTCCTGATCCGCCCGGAGGGACACTTAAAAATCCCAAGGATCTGCCATTCCCATTTCCCCATAAATCTGAGAATGGTGCATCCTCCTCGAGTGGTCCACGGCCTTGTAAATTTTTTCATCCTCCACGTGCGACCATTGCCATCAATTTTGCATTGAAAAAAAAATGTTAAAAATATCGAGGTGAAGGAGAAAAATAATCCCATTCATTCCTCCATCTTCTTCATTTCATTTTATCGACGAGTGGAATATTTCAAGATGTTTCGTTAACCTACAGAATGACACTGAATAATCCATGACATGTAATTGCATCAGGAAATATCGATTGATAAATATTCATCGATTTTTTCAATCCGTCCTCGGTATTTAGTAATCGCGCTGGTTTTTCGAATAAAACGATTCTAAATTTTTTTTCACAACTTCATATCAACCGAGAGGCATCATTGCACCGATGAGTTCCATCAGTTGCTTTCTTTTTTTTTTTCAAAAATAAAAAACGAAGAAAAAACGCCGGCCAACAGGTTTAAGAATGCGCAAGGAATAATCCCACGACAAAAATGCAACCTCTCTCGTCGGGTTGAGAGACACGAAAATACCAATGACCGTCCGTAAACTAGAGATGAATAATCAATCTAGAGGCTGATCAACGGTGCTAGTCCCCTTGTTTCCACAGGTATCATCCAACCTTTCACTCGATTGAAAATAAGAAGGAAAAAATCACTGACAAATGAGTGATTGTCTTGTGATTTTAAATGTCTCAGTGTAATTATTCTCAAGCTGATTATAATCGTGACGATAATTAATTGAGTTGTCGCCACGAGGATACATCAATGGGTTCAGCTTTAGCATACCAGTTCTTATCTGACAACAGAGTGCACATATGGGTTGTGTAGATTATCGTTTGTCCTTCGATCAGTTCATCGGCTTTATGCCCCATTCCATCGGTAATTTACTAATCGTAAACATTCCTCTGGTCTTAATCGACATTTTTTTATCTTCATCTTTGAGGTGTACATGTGTGGTTGATTGGGGCCATTGGAAAGGAGGCGAAGCATTAGGTCTCCAATGTTCAACAAATTTTGATTCATTTCATTTTCATTATTTTTTATCGACACTCAGTCATCTTAATTTAAGGATATCCAAATATCTTTTACAGTTTGGTCTAGACCACATCACAGATCGCAGCATTTTCAATCATCAAATTCGTCAATTAAATTGCGTGAGAAATGAGATAATTATTCTCAAAAAAAACAATTGTCAAAATATTTAGCTGAAAACTAAAATACATTAAAGTTAACAAATTATACAAATAAATTAAATTTTTTGCTTGAAATTTGTCAATTAAATTGCGTGCGAAATTAATTAATTATTCTCGAAAAAAAACAGCCAAAAAATCGGGCTGGAAACCAAAATCCATAAAAATTGAAAAATTAAAATTTTTGCCCGAAATTTGTCAATTAAATTGCATGAGAAATTAATTAATTATTCTCATTAAAAAATGCCAAAAAAATTCGTCTGAAAGCCAAAATGCATCAAAATAAAAAAATTGAATTGACATTTTTGCCTGAAATTTGCCAATTAAATTGCGTGAGAAAAATTTGAAAAAAATTATGAATATTCAGCGTAATTCAAATTACATTTTGCACCAGAAGGGCGTAAACCTTTGAATACTGTTCTACGGAAAACCATTTTTCATCAATATTTTCAATCACAAAAATTCTTTTGTCCTTATTTTTCCAACTCCTGAATTCTCAGTGGAAAAATGATTCAAAAAAATTAATCAAGTATTTGGAAAACCGCAGGAGGCATCGTAGAATGTCTAGAACGCAGCTCTTAATGCCTTAATTCGAGATACTAGAAATAACCTTCGAAGAAATGCGTTTTATCCATGAATTTTCAACAATTGCTGAAGTAATTCACTGAAGTCAGTTGAAGATTCATGGTTAAAATGCTACCAGCGGCCTTCGATCATGAGGAAGAGAATTTTTTCGGAATTGTAAATGCCGATGAACTCACGATCCTTCGGACGAGAGCACAATCACTCTGGGGCGACCTTTTCGGCTCAGGTGCCAGTCTTTTTCATTATGCATCGGATTTTTTCCCAGTGGTGGTGGTAATGTCGGATTTAACATTTTCGGGTTGCGTATTCAGTTCGGGAGCAAGTGGTTTTTTAATGAAAATGTCAGATTTTTTTTGAAAAAAAAATTCAATTTAATGAAAAATTTAATCGAGAATAATTCTAGTTAAGATCAAATTATTCATGGAATTTCTTTTACATCTTGAAAATGCAATAAAGTTTTTTTTTGTGTTGAGAGATCATTGATATTTCAATGGCAGCTCAAATTTTTAAACTCATTGCGACAATTGAAGATTATATTCAATTGAATTTTGAATAGATTGAGAATTCATAACAATAGTTGTCATAATTTTTAATGAAATTAGAATATTTCGGATGTAAAAAAACACATTTTTGTCAAATTTTTACTAGACCTATTTGATTTCTCTCACCAAATTTCCTTTACATTCAATCACATCATTAATTCCCAGTCAACTACAATCGGATTCGAGTTCTTTATTCATAGGCCCATGCTCGTGCCTCTCACTTCGCCCCAAAAAACATATCTCCCATGAATTTCAAACAAATAAATGAATAAATTAGTCAACCACCGTTCAGGTGAGAGCACAGTCTCACCCAATCTGCACCCATGAATAACAAATCCTTCAAACTTTTCATCAAAATCATTACACAAGAGAGTTTCCTCCACAAACTCTACGGAATCGCTGCGATTGGCCTTGTCCCGTCCCCGGGCAATTGTATTTTCGGACGTTCACTTGTCCGCCGAAAATGAAAAACAGCGCTGAGCACTCGAGGCGACTCAGCTAAGAAAATAAAAACTCCAAAAGAAAAAGCCCCGATAAATGGAATAAAAAATTAATGCGCTCTGAGTACGTGTGAAGGTAAAATAATAATGATATCGCAAGGACTGGTTGAACGTTTAACGAACGAATCGGTGAGGATTTTTCGTGTTAACGAGAAAAATATATAACCGATTGGCTTCTCTGGGCCCATGAAACCTCGGCTCGTGAAAAATTTACGTAACACCCCGTACATTTTCGGGCCATTTGGCTTTCGTGTCATTAACCTTTATGTCGTTATACACCGGGTACCAGGCCCATATTTCGTTAGAAACCAAGAACACCGAGTTTCTCTTATGTAAGTAGCACGTGGTTTTCTGTACATTTTAACATTGTACATTTTACCATCGAGGAATACAAGAGCTTTTCTCCTCTCGTTTCCGGGATTAATATCACAATTTCTTTCCTCACTTTTTTCTCCTCACTGTTTATTGTCCGACAATTTTTGATAACAAACTAACATTCTTTATTATTTGACTCTCGATAATGCTATCGCTCGCTTGTGCCGTAAACATGCAATTACACTAATTCTCGTGAAAACCCCTCTCGACCTATTTTATCTCATTCACCAAAAATATTTTTAACAACAATTGATTACTGATTGTTGAACTCGTGCGTGCTGAACTTTCGAAGGGAGATAAGCATCCGACTAATTCCAGAAAAACTTTGTTTACTAAAATTGTTATTTTTTTCAATTCGTTTCTCGAAAGCCTATTTTTTTCATTTTTAAAAATACATCGAAAATGACAAAATTGAGACATTTCACTTCACTCGTTTCTACAAACACTTTACTTATACTTTTTTACAGAAATGTGTCAATGACTTCGTCTATATCATGAAAAATCTTAAGTTTGGCTGATAGCTATCTAATTTGAGACTTATGGGTCGACAAGTTCGTGACGGACAGCTATTTCTCAAAAATAATTTCCTTTCTAAATATATCGTGAAAACTATTCGAGCGATTCAATCCTTTTCGCCGCTAAAATCTTTTTTTATCTCATTTTTATGAATAAAACCATGGGTCTGCAGATGTTTTGACAAAGTCTCAATAATTTTGTAAATATCGTCACTAAAAATCCGGAGTTTTAGCTCATGGCGGTCACCAGCGAGTTCCACTTCTGTGCAAAATTACAAACCTATTAGTCAACTAGTTCTTGACAGACAACTATTTCTCAAAAATAGTTTTCTTTTTCTAAATATATTTTGAAAAATATCCAACTGTTTGAAATTTTTCTGCACTAGAATCTTCACTCTGTTTCATTCGTTCCAAAGTACTGATTTATCCTATTCAATGGCATAAAAATAAAAATATATCAATGTCTTCCAGAGAATTTTGATAGTCTTCGCAATTTTCTCGTGAACCTCACAATCGAGCGAAGATAATAATGAGAAATGTTTCATTGCCGGAATGCTCATTCAATCGTTGAGAAAGAGAAAGCTAGCTCAGCAAGTTCATTATCCAAAGAAATCAAAGGAAAGGGACCAGGCATTTCCCAAATAATCCCCCCAAATCCACTCATAATCTTCAAAAATAGTTTTTATTTTGTATAAAAAACGTAATATATTAAATAACATCGTGACATACAGGGTACACCATATATGAACACATTCTGGACTTAACATTACGAAAAATCTGATGATCGAAGAAAAGTGACTCCACAATTCCTGCAAATGATTTCCTTCAAAAAATCTCATCACTAAAATTCTAACGTTTTTCGCCTAGAATTGCCTAAAGAGTTCCTAATCTTAATAAACAATTTATTCAATTTAGAAAACTACCTTTTGAATTTTGTTCATTATGCACCACAAGACTTTCTCTGTCTTGCTCTCGTTAACCTCTCGAGAGTCGCATTTCTTCTTTCTCTCGTTCACAAAGAGTATAGTGAACCACCACGAGATAACACACCAGACTCACGAGAGTCTGATCGGCGACCTCGTGAAGAGGGGGATAAGAAGATTGGTCAGCGAACTAAAAAGACTGTTGAACCTGAGGTAATGATAATTTCAAATCTAACAAAAACCGACTCATTTTTCCACGTACACCGGGGTTGACGAACCTGTGCGTGAGAAAATTTCCATTTTCCATGATTAACAACAAAATTCAAAAGTAATGATAAGAACAGCGAGAGGAATCTACTGAAGTCCAGCAAATATTTTCAAAAGAGCAATTCAAAATGAAGCCACCTCGTGACAAAATGCCTGCACATTAGCTTGTCCTGAATAAATTTCTCTCACTGTTCAAGCGCAGTAAAATCCACAATGAATAGCGTATAATTTATGAACGAACTCGGTGTAATTCGGGTCAGTCTTATACTAGTTGTCTTTTCAAATCGACAACAATATCCAAAAAACCAGTCACACAGAAATCACTCCCACACTCACGCGCATAAAAAATGTCACGCCTCAATCAGACCTATGTACAGATAGTAAAGACAATAGTTCGAATGATTATTTACAGAAGACCGCAAACACTAACGAGAATGACTGCTACAGTAACCTAATGTATGAATAAATTACAGTGACATCTCCCCGGGTAAAGAATTATAAATAAATAATATGGCGGCGGGATATAAAACGGGGTGCTTAAATTTTGGTGTTTGCTTTGTACTTTTTCCATTATTTCAATCCTCAATCATCGCCACACAATTTAACCTTCTAACCATATTACCTACTCTGATATGTATATTACCATCGAATTTAATCGAAATTGAAATAACATTTCCGAATTTAATCGAAATTGAAATAACAAATCACTACTCCTGCACCAAAAAAAACGATATCTTGATCTGGACTGAATTCATCCAGATTGACACCAGTTTCCATAAACCAATCTTTTCCATCCACAAAATGATTCGGAAACTCTGTCTGATTGGATCAGTCTTTCCACTTGAATCGAGTAGAAAGAGCGCTTGAATCAAGTCGCGATCTCCTTAAACCAAGACCGTCTTTTGGGTGTGACTCTCGAGCCACCAACTCAGGTCCTCACCATTCTGCTAACGTCTTTCCGAAAGGAAAGCGCAGTACCAAAACGTTGCGTTCCCCCTCAGTGCGACCCGAAATTTCTGAGTGGACTAGACATTTCCGGCGAGCAATCAGCGACATCAAGATGCCTCTGCTGGAAACAAACCTTGAAGGGATCAGGTGTGACAGTAATTCCAGCATTGCCCCTGAGGCTGGGCAGTGAGTCGCCCTCGGGCAATCCTATATCAAAAGTATGGAGTAGAGAGCTGAAAAACAGAAACAGCTCCATTCGTGCAAGTACATCACCCAGACACATGCGCCTCCCAACGCCAAAGGGCATGAAGTACTCGGGCCTGGTGACCTTCCCCTCAGTGGAAAGGAACCTAGTCGGTCGAAACTCCTCCGGCTCAGCCCACAACTCCGGATCCATGTGAACAGCATGAAGCAGTGGAACAACTTGTGCACCAGCTGGTATCTTAAAGCCATTCAGCGTGACATCACTGCAATCAAATAAATAACCAACGATCAACAATAAGTTTCCAAAGATTATTCACTGATAATCATTCGAGACACATAAGTATGCCGTTGACCTCGGCCGTGTGACCAAGGTATATCCGAAAACAGCCAGTCTCACACTGGGCCCGATTGCTTTCACTTTTACTTTTGGCAATTATACATTTTACGATACGAGCCCCCAAGCTTGTGAGACGTAACGTAGAATTATGAAAAAACAAAAATGAAAATTCATTTACCGAGTTGTTGCGTGTGTCGTGCCAAGAGGTACAATGCTAGATCGCCTCATCACCTCGAGAATAGTGGCTTCAGTGACTGGTAGGAACGGAAGATCCTCGAGTCCTGGCATTCTGGATCTACCCACCACCTGATCCAGCTCCTCTTGCACAGCCTTAGCAGCTTCTGGATGATGAAGCATTTGAATCACAGCCCATTCCAGTGTCGTCTTCACTGTTTCCATTCCAGCTGAGAAGAGATCGCCGAGGATCTGCTGCATCTGGCGATCTAAAAACAGAAAAATCATTAAACCAATTAGCAAAATGGATCAATAGATCAATCAGTCGATCAATTCACAGTGAATAATCGGAATCGTCTGACGTTTCAAGACGTTTTGGCCGTGGAAACTCACCATGATTCTTCCCCTGAAATAGCGCAGCATCCCTGCCCTCAGCCTTGGCCCTCTCAATCTCCAGCAAATAACTGTCAACAAGATCCCGAATATTCTTCTCATCAAAAGTCGCCCTGTGCTCATCAACAGTCTCCTGGAAGAATTCCGCCATCTCCGTTCGATTTTTCGCAATCTTGTCCCTGATTTTCCTCAAGCCCGGCAGATACTTCATTATCGGTATGAAATTAACACAGTATATACTCCCGAATAATTTGAATCCCTCGTCAAGGAGATCCATGAATCGACGGAATCTCGTGTCACCGTGACGAAATCTCACGCTCATTATTATGGAGCAGATCACGTTGCTTATCGACATGCCCAGAGATGGTGATACGTCAGTCGGTGCACCACGTTTTTGCGACAGCGAGCGAATCAACACGTCAACCTCACGCTGTCAAAGTCATGGATTTCATTAGCCATCACAATTATTCATCACAATTTCCCTTCTTCATTAATTACTGAAATGAATTACTTACGTTTATCCTAGTCTCCATTATTTTCCTTCCATTTCCGAGGTACGTCATCCCGAAACTCCTCAGCTTTTCGTGGAGAAACTTCCTCTGGTCCTTCCACATCGCCCCCTCGGCATTAATAATTCCTGTAATCAACCATTACATAATTAATCAAACCGGAATATTCACTCGTTAATTCAATTTATCTTTTCTTTTACATCGTAGAACAGTGGAAATTGGTTTAATAATGAGAAAAATCAATTGAACTTACCGTATCCTCCCAAAATATTCATAAACTCGCTGTGCGGTCTTCCGGAGAACTCTTCCCGCCTAAAAGTATCTCTGATCGTCCTGTAATCGCTGAGTACCACCACGAGTTTAGTCCCCAATCTCGCACAGAACATGGACCCATACTTCTTGGCAAGTCCCCCAAATTGAAGATGAAGATCTCCTTTGATGAACGGTAGATAGCCGAGAATGGGAAAGCCCCAGGGCCCTGGGGGTAGACTTCTGAGGTACTTGAACCACTGGAAGGCCCTCACAACCCCGAGAGCACTCAGAAAAACGACAATACTATAGGCCAAATCAGTTCTCATTCCACTCGTGATACTCCAGACCCACTGGACAACGATTTCCACCAACATTTTGAGGTTTGCTTTTTAATACAAATGATGGGATTCACCGAAATGACAATTGACAGCTGGTGGAGTGACGATAATCGTCAGTTTTTTCGGTTAATGTCGACTGGTTGGTGTTCAAGTCAATGATTGATCATGAAAATCAACGTTGATTACAACGCGACGGTGTTGGCTGACAGATGACACAGTCAAGTGACGAATCCGCTTAGCGCGCCGTCGTACATGCCACGAGAAGAATTGAGTGTATACTAACATACACCTTCTTGTCCTTGCCTGTTTATATAGTGACTCATCAGCCAGTGGGGCTGCGTGGGGCTGCGTGAAGCTGCGTGGGGTGGGGCGGGCTTGGGAGGATGAATGTGCATGTGGCCGCAGAGAGCAAGTCGACAGGTTCGCACGAGTATGGGTCGAGAGGGGTGGGGAGGGATGGGAATATCGGCTCGGGAAGAAGAGGAGGGTACCGCCGCGACAAAATACGAAAATTTTTGGGGGGATTTTTCAGGGGGAGGAGTGGGGGCACACTTGCAACTGATGATGGTGGAGGGGGATTTTTTTTTTATTCTATTTTGGGGGGATTTTGAAAATTACGTGAGTCGCTGAAATTATTAATTGGGTTCAATTTTATGTTGAAAATTGGATTTTTGCGGGATGTGGTCTTTTAGATTTCAGTTTTTAATAACGATGATGGAGTAAGTTTGATAGAGAATTTTGTATTTTAGCGGTTTGAGGTAAATCGATCATCAAATTTCTTGATCAATTTGGATTTCAGTGATTGCTTCAATTTTCAATTGTTATGAATTTTCATGTTTACAATTCATGTTTCAACAACTTGAATTTTCAAACTCGTGTTGAAAATAAAAAATTTGATTGAATTGAATTTTTAATAGATCGAGAATTTCGGATAATAGTTGCGTCAATTTCACAGTTAAAAATAAGTAACTATTTAAATTGATTTGAATATCAAATCAATCGTCAAATTTCCTACTCAATTTATATTCCAACGATTACTTGAATCTTCAAACTTATTGAAAAAATCGAATATTTGATTCAATTAAATTTGTGGTAGATCGAGCATTTCGAAGAATATAGTTACGTCAATTTCACAATTTAAATGTCAATTTAAATTGAATTGAATATTAAATCATTCACTGAATATCTGATCCCTCTTGGAAATTCTCACGTGCTGGGAAAATCGAATGATTCAGTAGAGTGATCAATTATTTTTAATATTGTTAATTTTACGTCAAAAATTAGATTTTTATGGGAAGTGATCATTTATATTTCAATGAAACGCTGGATTCCTAAATTTATTATGAACATTGAATATTTGATTCAATTGAATTTTCAATTTTGTCAATTCAAATTGAATTGAATGTTCCATTCAGTTAAATTTTCAACATTTCGCGAATTTCGAAGAAAATTTGCGTCAGTTTCACAATTTTAAATAATTGTCAATGTAAATTGAACCAAATATCAAATCATTCACGGACTATTCGATCCTCCTTCTAAATTAAATGAAATCATCTCCATAATGACCATAATCCATGTTCCCCTGAAAGCCTGAATTTCCAAACTCGCCCTTAAAATAAAATTCCCACATAAACTAGTTCTTGAAAACAAGAAAAACTCGTCAAAATTTTCCAGAGTAATTTCCCGCCGCAGGGCGATATTTGTATCTTCAAAGACAAACCAACGAATGAATGAAGGACCTGTTGAATGCCCCCAGGAATGGAGGGGGGATGAAAAGGACCGGTGAGCGGAGAGGTGAGGGGGATGCCTGTGGCATCAGTGAGCGAGGGCGGGTCCTCTCTCGCATTGGATTTGTGAGGCACAAGGCGCCGGTCGGTGGCGGGGAGGGAGATTCAGGTAGAGTTGGACACTCCGGGTGTTCGGAGAGCGGCGGGGGAGGTGGTGATGGTCCGAAATGTCTTCTGCGAGTCGAGGAGGCGAACGAGAAACCGAAGGAGAAGGAGAAGTCACGGGATTGTCCCGGGAAAGCCCTCAATCGATAGACGATTACGAGTGATGCATCGTGATTAACATTCTATTGATGTCAAGCGGGTTTTCCTCGTACTGACGCGCAGATGCCGATTTTCCTCGTCCGGCGATTGGCATTCAGTCGCTGGTGCAGCGCCAGGGGGTTGAGGCAGGTCATTTTTTTCAATTTTCGGAGAAGAATTTTTTGAGGCTGATTTTTTGGAGGTCCCGGGGGGAGGGATATTTTTCCAGGTGAATGGGCGGATAATTGTCGTGGCGAGACGCCAAGAAAAGCGAGGTAGAATGCCTGAATCTCGTCTGGATATCGCGGGTCAATGATCCCGATTCATTCTTGTCTCGATTGGTGATGAATTTCATCGGCGGTGGGGGTTATCGGGGATTTCAGGAGGAATTCTTGATTATCGCACGTAGAGAGATGGTTTAAGTGAATTGATTCATTCAAATAGGTCGTGATTATGATTTTGTACAAACTTGAAATTGATTTTTATTTTTTTCCTCGTTTGGTGATTTTTATTTTTTGTTTTTATTCACATTAAATTGCTAGGGTTTTCTTAATATGTGTTTGTTTGACTTTATTGGTTGGGAATTAATCCGTTGTTTGGATGGCGAAGAGGACAAATTTATTAATTTGTTTATTTATTCATTCATTTTAGCTTTTTTATTGTTAATTATTCAAACTTAAACAAAAATTTTATTTGCGTTTTTAATTAGGTGAAATAATGTTTTTTCAAAATCAAGAAATGTTTCCTTGATTCAGATAAAGTTTTAATTGGGTAAAAGTGACATCAGTGTTCAGAGGGCAAAGAAAATGAATTTATAATTTTTTTCTTTTCTTCATTAATTTGATTTCTGGAAACTGCATAGGATGGGGATTTCCTTGTTAGGCTTGAATTTTCCTGGTTTTCAATATTGTCGATTCAAATAATTCGTGATCAAGCTGTTATTCAAACTTAAACTCAATTTTGATTTGCGTTTCTAATTGCATGAATAAATTTTTCTGTCAAAATGAACAAATTTTTCATTGTTAATTAATTACCAACAAAATTATTGCTGAAATTAATAGACAAATGTCTAATAGAGAGTTTCATCTTACTCAAATGCATAATTTCCCGAGAGCATGGCGATTTTTGCGGAATTTAGATCTATTTTCGTCTTTACAGAAAAAAAATTTTAATTTGAAGAAATAAAAATAAAACAAACAAAATGGAAATTAAATACCTTGATGATTTAAATACTGAGGGGCCAAACGGTTGGTTTTTTTTAAATGTTGGATGGAATTGTGTTTCACTTTGACACAACTCAAAGCCTCCAATCCCATCGCGCTCTCATCAGCCGAGAAATTGATGAAAAATTTTGTGAATGAATTTTTGGGAAGCGTGAGTATCGCTGGACTAAAATGTCTGCATCCTTAGCCCACGCGTGACCCATTTGGATATATTTATTCGTCTGGTGCAGTCCGTTGAATCCAAATATGGGGACTGACTGGTTGCAAAGTGCTCACACACCTCCCCCCCTCCCCTTCAGTCCGAAAACGACAATTGCCCTCGGAAAAAAAAGATCAATTAAAGGTCGGAATAATTTCTCAAATTCGTTAACTCCCCTGTTACGACGGATGAAGTGGATTGTCACGAGTAAGGAGAAACGGCTAGTCGATTTGTCAGCAAAGGCGAATTGTTAATGTCACATATAACGCTTACGTCGGCAATAACTCGAATCTTATTCCCTTGATAACGACCTCTGGATGCCGAGTCACAGGAATTTACGGGAATCTTGGGTTTTTTTTTCTCTTAGTAAGAAGTTTTAGAATGACTCAAGTGAAATGGAAAGTGCGGGATTCAATTTCAATGGATTTTCAAGTCAACAAAACATTGTGAATGTAGTTGAACCGTTGGAGCCAGTGGCTAAGTGGTATAAAACGTTACAAGTCAATTATTTTGTGCTCATTAATATGAAATTATCTGCTTAACGAGTGATTCTAGAGGAAAATTTCAAAAGCGATTTTTTGAAGCTTCTGGAATTCGCCATTAAAAATGTACTTTGCCATTTTTTTCTATTCTGGAATAAAACTTGCGGGGGAAATATAAAAAAGAACTGTTGATATGAAATATTTTTTTTTCTCCCAGTAAAAAGTTTCAGAATGACTCAAGTGAAATGGAAAATGTGGGATTCAATTTCAATGGATTTTCAAGTCAACAAAACATTGTGAATGTAGTTGAACCGTTGGAACCAGTGGCTAAGTGATATAAAACGTGAGAAGTCAATTATTCTATCCTCATCAATATGTAATTATCTTCATAATGAGTGATTCTAGGGGAAAATCTCAAAAGAGCTTTTTTACGGCGATGAAATGCTCCCTTAAAGATGTTTTTTGGCATTTTTTCTATTCCGGGATAAAACTTGCGGGGAGAATACAAAAAATTACATTACAACTCAATTATTCTATCATTAATATGAAATTATCAAGGGAGCTCCTCTGCAGCTGATGGAATTCTCCACTAAAAATATTTTTTGACATTTTCGCCCGCCCTGGGATAAGAATTACAAAGGAAAAAAAAATGTTGATACCGAATCTTTGTTTTTTGTGAAATGGAAACCGCAGAATTTTATCTCAATGCATATTCTATTCAACAAAGAATCGTAGATACGTTTGAATTTTTGAAACTAGTAGGTAAGTGATATAAAATGTCGCAACACTGAAATTTTATCACATTAGTTTGAATTTAACTCCATAACACGTGTTTTTTTTTTGTAGCTGATAAAACTGTCACCGAAAAGTATTTTCTGACGTTTTCTCCTCAATTCCCGTATTATCAAGGTGATCATCAATTCAGAACACGCGATAAAAATCAAATAAAATTCAGAGAATAAATTGAACCCCGGGAAAGGCAGGAAAAAATCGTGAATTTTCAGGTTGAAATGAAAATTCACTGAAATTTTGAATTTTAGGAAGACGAGAATTTCCAATTTTGTTAAATTGTTATTTCTCAATCTGAACTTCTCTGAGTTCTACCCATTTTCATAGAATAATAGACCTGAAATTCCCCATTTCAATTCACTTTTCCATAAAATCCTGAATTTTCAATTCCGAAATTCCTTGAAACTTCAATGAAATAAATTCGCTGAGCACTTCCAAGAAACAAATTTCAGCCAAAATTTTTCAACAATGTAAAAGCGTCAAGCAACAGCCGTTCAATCAGTAAAATCAACTAAAAATAATAACTCGTCAACAAGACACACT